AGGGGTGCAGAGCAGGACTTGCACCGACCAGGCCTAAGAGACGTTTTAATATCCGTTGTGCTGATATTGTGCGCTTTCTCCCTTGCCTGCAGGAGGCCTGACGGATGTGCTGAGCTCTCACTATGAATGCTATTGTTGCCCTCTGCCATTTTTGTGAGCTCCACGGTCCTCGCACCCTCTTTTGTACTGAGGTTCTACATTCACCGCTTCCCCAAGGCGCAGGCAGCGGCGACATCTCTGGGCAGAATGAGCAGGCAGAAGAGGAGGAAGGGGGCATTCAGATGAGCAGTCGGATCCGCTCGCACAGCCCGGCGGAAGGTGCCAGCGCCGACTCCAGCAGCCCAGGGCCCAAGAAGTCAGATATGTGTGAGGCAAGTGTGAGGATCTGTGTGCGGACACCAGTGGCCCTTGGCTTAACTAAAGGGCTCTTGGATTCTCTAACGTAAATTGTATTGTTTAAGAGAGGGGGAAAAAAAAGTGAACTGTACTTCTTTTGTATGTGACTTCTAGTACCAGAAGATTTCCAAGTCCTCATAAAGTGTAATGATCTGTGACAAGAGGATGAAGGAACTGTTGTTGAGTAGATAGACCTTGACAAGATGGTGTCTTGAGGTCTCTTTAAGCCCCGTGCTCTGTGATTCTCTTGCGGCTGAGAAATGCTTTCCTCATCCTTGAAGAGCATTTACTTTATTAGATTAGGTCTGGTCATTTATTAGTAGTAATTTTAAGATCGGTATTGATTAGGAAACAGAAAAAAAAATGCAAAAGCAATTAAAACAATAGAGATAATGTACGTTCTCAGTCATTCTCATGCTTGTCTACTATTAGTACTTAGTATTAGTGGAGAATATTGGCATATTCTGAAAGGGTGGAAGTGTGATGTGATTTGAGTGTTTAGGTATTTTTTTCTTGAGGTAGTACTTGTTCTGAGGTATTTGTTATTTATTTTCCTTTAGGTTATGACCAGTTTTGTTAGGCCAGTTGGTTTCACAGCTGCTGTTAACTGAAATTTAGCACTTGTAGAGCCAGCACAAAGTTTACAGTCAAATTAAATAGTGGAAAATGAACATAAGAAGTATATCGCACATAGTTCTGTGTGAGGAGCCGGGTCCAAATCCTGACCCTGACTCATGTCTTGTCTTCTCAGTATTTCTGTTCTTATCTGTATG